CATTGATGCTCCAAGACCTTCCATTTGCATCAACTGAGGAGCAGAAGGTCTGACGAACCCTAAATTGTTATAATTTAAGCTATGAAATGTGAATTCCATTTTTTTCTCATTTGATTAAATTGCTTGCTAAACACGATAAGCATTCAGGATAGATTATTCCATTCATTCTATTACATAGAAATTAATAAGTGAGGAGAAACGATTCTGAAAAATGTACCAGCCAAGTAAACTAAGCAATCACCTTTCTCAAACTTGGTGGAATATTACTAATGACAGTAATGCCACACTTACTGTGATCAGCAACTCAGAGAAGTAGCAAGATCACCTGATTAGAGTTCATTGTGACTCAATATTCTACTTAGGAGAAAATGTGGAGCTATGGATCCTCCCCCATTCACCTCACTATGTACAGAAAATAAAAATGCACCAAACATGCATTTGGCTAGAGCAATAAACACAGAAGGGTCCCCTCACTCATCTTTTATCTATGGTGAGGGAGATGGGCCCCATAGTCTGAATTCTGTTCAATAAATTTCCAACAGCAACTAAATATCACCACCACCACCACGGAGCAGCAGCAGCACACTGCATTTATAACCCACATTTTTTCATCTTGTGCGGAACCCAAGGTGACTTACATAGCTCCATGTTACCCTCACAAAAACTCCATGAGGTAGGTTGAGAATTAAAGTTACTCAGTGAGTTTCAAGGCTGAGTAGGGACTAGGACCCAAATCTCCCCTGTCTAATACTCTAACCACCATACCTCATTGGTCCAATCCAGCCCTTCCACAAGCACTCCACTGGCTGCCCTCCCCGCAACCCATGCAAGGATGAGGGGTACAGTGATAGAAATGGCATAGTGAGAACAGGCATCCTACACTGAATGGGGGAAGCATCCAGTCTCCAGTCCAACACTCTAACCAACATTCTGCTCCAGCTTTCAATAGGCTACCTCTGAAATAGGTAAACACAGGGAGACATGATAAGAGGTGTACAAAATTATGTGTGATGTGGAAAAAATGGATAGGGAGACATTATTTTCTCTGTCTCATAATAAAGGAACCCAGTAAAAGATTCTGGACAGATAAAAGGAAATATTTCTTTACACTGTGCACAGTTAAAGTAAAGAATTGGTTTTTACAGGATGCAATGATGGCCATCGAAATGCATGGCTTTAAAAAGAATTAGACCAATGTATAGAGGACAAAGTTATCAGTGGGTAATTGTGATGCTATACACTACCTCAAAGTATTAAAAGGAGTACACTTTTATGCAACAGTTTCTGGGGGATATGAGAAGAAGGCACAATTGCCCATATGACCTGTTTGTAGAATGCCCACAGGCAACTGGTTGCCTACTGTTTGAACAGAAACCTGGACTAGGATATGCATTTTGCATGACTCCACATGACCCTTATGTGTCAATAACATTCTCATTTGCATAACTATCAAACTTTCACAGTCAAACTGTTTTCACAATCTTCTTCCCTCTTTAACAAGTCAGTTGGCAAATACCCATGGCACAAAAGTATAAACATGTGAGCTGTCATTTTTAATAAGCTAAAGCTTTCTACTCATACCGCCATTTTAGAGAGAAAAATAAACCAATGTAAACTGCAATGATTCCACTCCATAAGAAAAACAGAGCCATCACAATGTGCAAAATATGAACACAAATTATTAACTACAATAAGCATTACAATTATTGCTCTTTCACACTTAGTTCAACCTTCTCCCAAAGGCTCCATAGCTATTATTATGCATGACCTTTGAAGTCTAACAAGTAATTCAGGGATAAGCAGGAAGAAAGAGGAAAATCAGAATACATAGGAAATACCAGCTGTAAAGAAACCTTAGCTAAATTAGAAAATTGCCACTTTCTTCACAACTTAAAAGAAAAACCAACAAGCAAATGTTCCAGTTCATTCCAGAACTTCAATCAGCAGTATTGCAAATGCTACACATATTCAGCCAATTAAAAAGAGGTAAGTTATGATTTGAACACCTACTGTTTTCTCACTAGATGACCACTTACTTAGGAATAAATAACAACTGATTAAACTCTTCCATAGTCATCAGGAATAGCAACCAAAAACTTGCATAAAATAACCTCAGTTTAGTGAGCAGCTGCTATTAAAAAGACAACTTTCATATAGGAAATAATTAAGAAAGAAATTTTAAAAATCTTGCCAATATTATATGGCTTTTATACAAATATTACAGTTGGAATACTGTGTACAGCTTTGGCCAGCACATCTCAAACAGGGATATTTTAGATCAGAAAAAGCTGAGGAAAAGGACAAGCAAAATGATTAAAAACTGGAGTAAAGAAATTTTTAGTGTCTTTTTTTTTCATTTTAGGAAAAGGGTGACTATGGGCAGACATGACAGAGGGGTATAAAATTACGTATGGCATGGAAAAGGTGAATAGGGAGACATTTTTCTTTTTCTGGGATCCAGGCTCTTTCAACAGAACTGAATGGTGGAAGAGTCAGAACAGAAAAAAGTTACTTCTTCACACAATGCATTGGTTGAACAATGGAATTCACCACTTCTTTGATGCAATGATGGCTACCAAATTGAATGGCTTTAAAAGGGTGGTACTATTATTAGATATTTCCTGTCTTTTTTGCTCTTGTTCAGAACCCAGGGCAGCCTGCAGAGTCTTTCCTTCTCTATTATCCTCACAACTCTGTGAATTAAGTCAGGCCAAGAGTCAGTGACATGCCCAATCTTACCCAATGAATTTCATAGCCAAAGGCGAGCAGAACTTGGGTCTCTCAAGTCCCAGTCCAACAGTCTAACCACTGGCCACCATACTGGCTCTTATTTTAGACAGATACTTGGAGAATACAGTTCTGAAGGGCAACTAGTCAAGATGTCTATTTATTATTGCCATTATCAGAAGCAGTGTGGTTCTGAAAACCAATTGCCAAGAAACATGAGCTATTACACTCATATCTTGCTAATGGTTTCACACCAGTATCTGATCAGCCATTGTGGGAACAGAATACGTGATCAGATAGTCTTTGTTCTGATCCAGCACAATTCCTTTTAAGTTCTTATACCTCCCCATCATCCCAACTGACAGCATTACACACCCTATCATTCTAGTGTATTCTGAGATTCTGAGGCATGTGTAAGAGCAGAAAGCAGAGGGACTACCACTGCTAAACCCATCAAGCTCTCTGAGAACCCTCCTCAAAAACCCAAAATGTCCTGTGGCCAACTGAAGCTATATCATACAACAGCAGGCAAAGCAATCCCTAACAACAAAATAATACACTGAGCGTAGCATAATCATAGTTTTTATTAATGAGTATCTGGGATGAAGTAGATTCTGAAAGAGAATGACAAAGTATGGAGTTGCCATCAGGTTGTAGGGATTGTGCCCACCGCTCCTGCAAAACAGCCTTCAAGAAATGTGGAAACAGATTTGGAGGCAAATGAGGAGGAGTTGAAATCCAGAGCTGAGACTCCAAAGCCAGTGGACTCAGAGATAAGCTGGGCAGCAGTAGGAAGTCTGTCAGTTTCAAACATTGTGGGAAGGCAAAGCAGGCTTGCTATTGAAAAGAAGGGCAAAACAGGCACCACTAATCACAGGCTCAGGGCACAGAGCATTTGAAAAGTGTCAGATTCTTTAAGAGATTGACTCTGAAGTAAGAAGATCCACCTTAAAGGTGGGATGTTGGTCATTTGAGTTTGGGAAGGGGGAGAGGTATTCTGTTTTGAATTGACATCTTAACAACAGATTACACTTCTGTAATGGCTAGGATTTTAACTATGCTTATTTCTTTTGTACTTCTTCAATACACTTCATCTGTACTTTTAAGCCAGTCCCCACCTGCTTGCAGAAACAATATAAAGCTTTGAGTAAGAAAGATATTTTCTGAAACTGCCTAGATGGAGAAAGAGAAGGCTGACTGGAGCACACAGAACCTCAACCTGGATGCAGGTTGTAAGGGAACGAGATAGGAAAATATAGGGTCCCTCAAGACCTCTCAACCTCTTACCCACAAGGGTGGAGGTGGGAGGAGACCACTGCAGTGACTGTGAGAACACATATCCCTGCCTTCTTGGGGTTGCAGTGGAATTGTGCATAAGTTTGGTTCTGAACCACATAAAGGGTTAGATTGTTGGTGCAGACTGGGTGTAGGCGGGAAGAAGTGCCTTTGTGGTGATTCAAGAGCTCTGGAGTCAGCAGAATCTGGCATGATCGTTAAGAGTGTTGGGCTAGGTAACTGGGAGATCTTGTTTGTAGTCCATTTTTGACCAGAAAGCTCACTGGGCCAGTGACTCACTCTTAACCTTGCCCTCCTCACACACACATACACAATGTTTTGTGAGGATAAAATAAAATTATGCAAGCAACCTTGGGTTCCTCATAAGAATAAAAGGCAGGATATAAGTGCAATATAATAATGAGAATAATGAGAATTTTCAAAAAAAAATCTATCAAAGACCTTTAAAGTCTTCAGTTAACTAACTCATTCCTTACACAGGCAAATATTAGATTGCAAACCATAGACGATCTGTACCTGTCTCTTTCTCTTGTTAAAAAAAGTGGTTAGTGACCTTTAGCCCTTACTAGGACAAGCAAGCTTAAATAAATATACACATGTAAATGAATGGTAGAATGATTGACTGGAGACAACAACCAGAAATCAATAATAATGATATTCATGGATCATGAGCAAACAAATGAATCTCATCAGAATAGCTAACAATTTTATTTCCCCACATATCGTTAGTTCACATAAATCCAAAAAACACCCATTAATTATATAGGGCTTTCAAATACAGAAAATATAGACACAGAAAGAGACAGGTTAACCTGAATAACAAAATCTGTTTTGTTGCATTCCTTATTAAAAGTTTGAGTCACAGCTATTAAGAATTAATAGGGATTTTGTCAATAGCATAAATATGATATGAGATGCAATCAGTACTTTAAATAAAGGTGAAGCAAAGCTTTTGAAATACGGCATGCTGCACTTACACGAACTTTTGGCAGGACTCTTCTCAGTGTCTCTGAAGGATTTTGTCGCATCAGGACTGGAAGACTTGCAACCACACTTGTTCCTTGGATATCCTGGCCAGAACTTATGAAACAACAAATAAAAATGTATTTTAATACATTCTGCTGTAAATTCAGTTTTAGCAAAACTGAAAAACTATTGTTCAAATATATGTAGTTATTGACAATAATGGGCTTGCCAAACATGTTGCTGGCCCAACACATATATGAGGACACATGCTTGATTTTCTTCACTGTGCAGGTGAATGATGACCTGAAAGCAGAAGAAAAAAACTATCCCTTCATCATGCTTGAGTCACTTCCTGTTGAAGTTTCCCTTCAACAAGAGTAAGGGTCCTATTAAAATGTTCCAGTCTCTCAGGGTAATGATTTTCTGATAGATTCCAAAGGGCTCTAGGTGATTTTCCTGTTGGTATGGCTACAATTCCTGTCAAAGTCTTGGTTTCTCTGTGAAATACAAAAATTACTAAGGCAGTTGACATGGCTGTGCCCAACCAGTCTCTCTCTATGAGCTAAGCTCAGGTTATCCCCTGATATAGACCTGTGTTGAGATCAATGAAGCAAGATGAAAGATGACTATAATGAAGATGAAGGTGTTCAATTGAACACAGGTTCTGAATAGTTCATGGCCTTCTACAATCTGAGTCAGATGGTGAAACCTTCACTAGCATGCTATGACAAGATTGTGAAACACTAAAATAAAGTCACACACATACATCCTCAGCTGGACACCACAGATGGAATCACAGTTAATGTAGTTCCATCTGCAGAGGTATCCAAAACACTAGCTTATCAGATGAGTATTGGTTGTTGAGGCTTGAGGATTCCGACAAGGCTAAGTCTGATTGACTGCTTGTGTGCTTGATCCTTGCCTTTCATGGGTTATTCTAATTGGAAGGGGATGTCTGGCTAGACCTGGGAAGTTGTCAACTCCTCCTTGACAAAGGGAGTGTTTCCAGCCACTTTATAAGAGGCAGTTACATAACCACTGTAGAAAAAATCTAACCTGGACTCAGAATATTTTGAGAAATGAGGGATATTTTGCCAATACCTTCTCCCTGGGCAAGATGCTTGAATGGGTGGTTGCCATACTCAAAACACTATTGAATGAAACTGATTAGCTAAACCTTTTTCAATCTCATTACAGGCCTGGTTGTGGAATGGAAACCACTTTGTTTGCCCTGTGGAATGTCCTTTGCTACTGATAATTCTGATTTCTCTGAGGCTTTCAGTATCTTTGGCCATGGTATCTTTCTGGATAGGTCATCTCAGATAGAAGGTGGAAGTACTGTGCTACAGCATTTTCATTTCTCCTTGGACAGAGAAGACCAGAAGATGGTACTGGAGGATTATTGCTATTTTATCCCACATCTACATGAAACCATTTGGGAAGGTTATCTGGAGGTATGGGACTGAGGCGTCATTGGAAAGTACCAACAAGTTATTGACAGATATCTGGGTGAATTGCAGTAGATTAGCAAGAACTTCTAATTCTCATAGTAAGAGCATTTTCAGAGCTAAATTAGACTTTTAAAATATAGTAGAATCTGTAAGAAGTTAAACACAGATTTTCATTTGAGTATGTAGATCATCCAGCATTACACTTCATGGTGATCAGTTAGTATCTGGCTCTATCATTTACATGTGGCTCCAAGTAGTAGATTTAAGACATTCTAGTTTTTTAAAAAAATCCATATGCTTTACTTTTGCTCTCAGCATTCCTAGAGGAAAAGAATCTAGGTATCTTCCATAACCCTAAAGTAATGAATGTATACAAACTGTGCAAAAACTCACATATGCCCTTATTAGAAGTAAATGGTCAAACTTGACAGGAAAACTAATTTTCAGCTACAGCATTTAGAGAACAACCTTAGCCTCCTGACAAAGTGTACATTCATTACATCATCATCATCATCATCATCATCATCTACATTTCTATCCTGCCCTTTTCCCTCTTACAAGGAACCCAAGGCAACTTACACAGATCTTCTCTATTTTAGCAGGGATCTTAATTAGAGGAGGCCCCTGCTATGCCCACAGATAGTTCTATGGGTAGATAATTGCTGCCAGCAGTATTACAACCAGTGGCAGGGAGCTCTCCAAAACAGATTGTTCAATGCCAGGTCTTGCTTTAAACTAGCTGAATCCAAAAGTTCTTCCACTCCCCCAGGAAGGGCTTGATCTAGGTCTCTCTGCAATGCTAACCTGGAACGACATTGCTAATTTCCCCTCTTCCTATTGATGTGGCTGCTGCTGTTGTGGGGCAGGGGTTAGCACAAACTGATTAGCATACATTAGTAGCACTTTGGATATGGCAGTCAATCTGCCATGTCACTCTCATTGCTGACTCCACTTAGGGTCCTATATTTTTCAGGATTAATCAGGGCTACGCAATACTGGATTTCTCTAATTCAGAGACCCTGTCAAAACTGGAAAAATATATTTATTAAAGAAACTAAACAGTCAAATGTAATATTCATTGCTCACATTCATATATCACTTTGAGTCAGGATTTTTTAAACTTATTAAACAATATGCAATAGCTGTATGCTGCTACACACAAATGAAATTATGTTCCTGTTTTGCTCTTCATGTAAGTGAGTAAATCAGGCTTGGGACCTGGTTATCTAAAGGAACGTCTGCGTCCATATATGCCCGCCCGCCCCCTACAATCGGCAGCGGATGCCCTTCTCTGGGAACCCTCCATGAAGGAGGGTGAGTACCCGGAGGAGGGCCTTTTCTGCGGTGGCGCCCCACCTATGGAATGTGCTCCCCAGAGAGGTCCGCCTGGCACTGTCATTATTTGCTTTTTGGCGCCAGGCGAAGACCTTTTTATTTAAAAGTTATCTTAACTGTTAATTTATTATTATTGTATTTATAGATTTTAATATATAGCCGAGATGGTACCAGTTTTTAAATTATTGATTGTATTTTTATGTCTGTTGTGAGCCGCCCCGAGGCTTTGTTGCGATGGGGGCGGCATAGAAATGTTTTAAATAAATAAATAAATAAAACTTGGATAATTCATTGTTTTGTACAAGCCTGGCACTATGTTTTATTACATTCAAACAAGCCAGGATTTCTAAATAAACAAACACCTTGATTTAAACTTGGATTGTTATCCTGGCTTATTTGAGCACAATCAGCTGTATTCCCAGATTCAGATGTAATGCAAAATCATGTGTGATATGATTACTTGCTCAAGTGAACATGAAAAGCAAAGCAGGAGCAAACACACTGAATGTATTAGCACACAGGTCATGCATACTATAGTTTACAAATTATGGCCACTATCTTTGGATTATTGTATCATCTACTTAAAAATCCTTATGGGATATCCAACTAGGGCCTCGAGGAGGGGAAGGGAAGGGAGGGGAGGGGAGGAGCTAGGGTCTCTACAAGCTCCAATTTGAAAGGACTCTAATTGCAGTTTGAGGAAAGACTTGGAACCTCAGGGATAACATAGGTGACATGGACCAATTATCTAACTTGGTACAGGGCAGTGTCAGCTCTTCATATATCTGTAAATAAATCTGCAAATTTAAAGGAGAATAGATGGGAATGTTAATAAACCATCATTCAAAGTATAGCAAAGTCTTGAATTTCCTCCAAATTTTGTTTTTATGATAAGGTGTTAATTCTGTACCTAAATAATCATCTTCACTTATTACTTTTAAAGTATTGTATTGTCTATACCTTAGCATCATGTACTGAAAACCTATATGATCAGCATTTTCCTTCATATTAAATAAAATGAGGTGGGAGGGAGAGTCATTCATTTTGACATAGTGAGGAAGTAAGTATTTGTGTAAACTGAATCTTAAGGCAAAAGAATGCTGTGATGAGACACATTTCTACAATTCTAAAGAAAACAGAGGTCTTGCCTTAAAATAATAACAAAAAGCTCTGAGTAGCTGACTTACTGCTGATCTAAAATGTGAAGCAGGGTTTTCAACACCTACACAAGTTGTAATTTTCCAACTGTTGAAGATATTTCTTTCATTTCTACTGAAACAGTACAATTGGTGATCCTCTGCTCCTTAACTGTTCAGAATTAAAATGATCTATCATATTATGATCAAACTGCTTTCATACAGCCATGTAAAGTACACATGCAAAACGATTATGCATTGAGAGAGTCACAAAAGGCCAATATCATGTGGAAACTGTCTTTTTATTAACAAAAAAATCAGGAAAGCTCTCTCAAAGCATTATCCTTACAGTCAACTGTTTTGTCATTGTGCAAGCACAATTCACAACACTAACATTCATCGAGGAAAACATTTTAGCATTTTTGTACATTTTCCAAAGCCATTAAAGCTATGGATATTGTGATATCAAGTAAAAGACAAACAGTGGGACCCAAAACAAAATATTACAGTGCGGTATGCAACTTGCAGCCCTCTAGATGTTTTGGCTGTTTCTTCCTTGATCCCTCAACCCTGGCAAAAAAGATTTTGCTTGAAAATTAAGCACATGGGGAACAAAATAACTGTTTTGCACCACAGCAGCTTCTGCAGCAAATTCAGTGGCATAAGGATTCAAGGTGGCCATCTAATAAAAGCATTTCAGAGGTGCTCCTGACCATGGAGAGCAAACCAGCATGGTTCTTTCCACTCTGGCTGTGAAAGGGAGAACAGATGGATCACAGAGTAGAGTGCTAGCTTGGACCTCAGATCTGGGAATGTGAATTATCCTAGGTGCTTCAGATACTGTCTAGAGGTCATAAAATGCTTTCTTTAAACATGCAATTTAAAAAAATCTTATAAGAATCAAGCTCAAGATAAAAAAAGGTCCCAAATTCAGGACAGTTATGCACTCTCAAGACTTCTGACCCATAAAAAATACCAGCAGTTACTGAAAGCTTTTCACAATTAAAGGTTAACATTCTCAGAGTATGATAGAATAAGTACAAGATGTTCACAGAACTGACAGTTGCATATTGATGAGGGAGATATGCAAATTACTGATGCATTCCAAGTATACACATTATCTCTGGCCTTCCAGTTGAAGGAAAAGAGTCCTAAGAATACATGCACATGGTGGGCATGACACGAGCGGAGA